CAGAGGGTTTACACACCCCCACCCCTTGTGGCATTAAAATCACCTGTACTCATATCTACATGTAGATATAGTCTAGGTAGAGGGAATCACTGTGAGAGTCAAGAGTCTCGTTTAAGGATACAACACAATGACTCTGGCTAGGGCTCAAACCCAAACAACTTGATCTGGAGTCCAGCACACTAGCCCTCTGGCCCGGGTTATTGGAAATGTTGATAACGCTATCCACCAAATAAATCACTATCCAGTGGATATCGTGGTTTGTTTTGTTAACACTTGTCCACTGCATATCGATTTACCTGGTGGATAGCATTATCCACCTTTCAAACAACCTGGGCCTGGCCTCAAAATTATGCAACAGTTGATAAAGAACATTATTGCCATGAGAACTCTGCCACAAGGGAAAACTAAAACTGACCTTTAAAATTTGGCCTCCTAAAAGTCTCTTTCCATTTATTCTTTCTTTTGCCTTTTTTGCTGCCCTTGCTGAATAAAACTTGACAAAGGCATATAGAGAACTGTAGTTCAACTCAGAACAATTCACAGTAGACTCCTCAGGAGCTGATGGCAAAAATGATAATTTTCATGTTATTAGATAATCACTCAGTTAAGTAATAATCAACTTTTTTGACTTTAGTTTATCACATGCAGCCTTGATTAGATTCCTTCTCATGCATGGTGGTGAAGTAACCAGATTAAAAATGAATCATCCCAAGTTGGCTTCTTAAGACAGTTTAAAACAAATTCACATGTTGAATGTTTATAGTGGTCAATGCACTTAGCTACACCTACAACCCTGCAAAAAACTGTCGAGATAGNGTTGCCACCTCAGAAATGGCCTTTAAAGACTCCCCACTCCCCCTCTGATTTCCTAGGTCATCAATAGAGGGGAACTGCAGATAAAAAATGGAATGGCCTATAGAATTGTTTCCAATTGGTCAACCTGTTTTTTACAATAACTGTCTAATTTCTCGCACACTGATTGGCTCATTTTTATCATCAATAAGAGTACAAACGGTCCGTCTTTTATGTGTCTGTCCTCTTATTAAATGATAAATTGCATCATAACATTGTCAAAGTGGCTGTGGAACCACTCGCCTCGGCGTGTGGCTCCGCAGTAAACTTTCACAATGTTATGACGAAATTTATCATCAAAGAGAGGACAGACACATAAAAAACTGACGTCAATTTGTTAAATTATCCAAGTCTTCAGTGTTCACGGTTCTGACGTTAAAAAGAGTTCCTACGATCAGAAAATTAGAACAAGAAAAATAAGTTACCTTCTGAACTATCTGATGAATCGATCACTTGTACTTCATACACCAATCCAAACTGGGAGAATATTTCAAGCAGTTTCACCTGAATCATTGAAAACGACAATACTTATTGTTCAGTTGTACACCATTTTTGCCCATATTTTATGGCAAAGCATCTTATTATACGCAAAGAAATCCTTACTTGTACCACTTCTTTCTCCAGCCGTCTTGAAATGTTGGTGACATAGAGATTAACTTCATTCTTATGAGGACGAAAAAACTCGATTAGTTCAACTGATGAGTCCGCCATGTTTGTTTTGAACTTCCCGCGCGCTCCCGCGTATCGTCCAACAACTCAGCGGTATTTTAGTAGAGAAATTGACCTGTGGTGTATCAATCATACAGTGGTTTTCTGTGTACCTAGGGCTTGAAGGAGAATAATTTTTAAGGTGATTCCTTAGTATTGCATTGCGCATCCCTACTGTGCACGATTTTCGCGTCATTAGCGCCTCAAACTCCCTCACACTAAGCTCGATAGCGAAATAAATGCTCCTTTTCTCTTAAACGAACACGGTGACCTCCACTTTTTATTTCATAATTTCAATGAGAACAGTATTCTCAATAACTGAGAAAAAAAATTAGCAGAAATCTATGGCTACTTTTTCGGAAAATAAAATAAATACTATTAAAGATTGAAGCGTAGCTAGGATGAGACATAATTAAAAATTAAAATATAAACGTTCGCTGGCTAAAAGTTTCAAAAAGAACATGAGCTTTCAGCTGTCGATCTACAGCCCGCGACGGATAAAAATGGAATGCAAAAGGATAAAATGTATGCAAAAAAGGCGAGACATGAATAATAACAAGAAAAAAAGCAAAGTAAAAATGTGTAAATTAGGTGACCATTGTTTAAAAAGAATACTATGCTTTTTACTTTGCTTTTGTTCTTCTTGATACTTTTATCTCGCCTTTTTTTCATATATTTTATGCTTTTGCATGCATCATTTGCAGCCGAAAGCCCATGTTCTTTTCGAAACTTTTTAGCCAGGGAACGTTTTCATTGTAATTTTCAATTATGAAATAAATACTACAGAGGGAGACAAAACAGGCCCAACAGCGCATGTCCAAATTATGTTTCTCTTAAACGATAAAAAAATGCAGGGTATTTGAAGACATTTTTTCTGAGAAGTAGATGAATAAACAATCAAAGAAAGTCAAACTCTGTGTGATATAACACGCTGCATTGAAAAATAATCGAGCTTATTTGTTGCGCAAGGAGATTACCAAAAGTCACCTAAATAACGGTATTTGTCAGCATTGTGGCATGAAAACAAGCACGGTGACCCCTCTTTTTACTACGTTTTTAATATCTCCTTGTCCTGTAACAACAGCATACCAAATTTCATCGGAAATCTATGGCGGGTTCTTTTACTAGGGAATCACCTTGAGCGCAAAATGAACCAGAATTGAAATTTAACCGGGGTTTTAATGCTTTTCAACGTCATTGTTTTGTGGAGTTTAGAGTAGTCAAAGTGAAATATATTGCTGGTTTTCAGTGTCACGCAATTCAAAATAGATCAAAATAAACATCAAAACCGGTTAATAGATAAAGTCCAGAATCTGGGAAATGAAAGAAAGTAAATATGCAAAGACTCTCACCAAAATTCTGGTCACAGCAATTTTTCTTTTGCGAGATATACGGAGAAATTTTTTACCCAAATTTACAGAGATTTGTATCGAGACGCCATCCTGGTGCCCATTCGTATGGGCACCAACATGGCGGCCGGAAACCAACAGAAACAGCTGTCACTGAGTTTTGCTACAAAAACGTGAATTTATCCCTCGAGAAACTCTAAAACATTAAAATAATACT